AATAAGTCAATAGTTGAATTGTGAAAATAAACTATATTTTTGCCCGTTTTTTAAGAGCAACAAGCACATGTCTAAATTTGTGAAATATCAAAACTTGATGTTTGTCGATTTTCGATTTTCAACTGCTCTCTCTCCAAGTTTTATTGATGTTTGTTCTTAGTAGTGTGACATCTCCTCTATTCAATAACGGAAATCACAAATCAATATCCTCTGATTCGTTAGACAATGAGTATGTCAAATTCTTCGTAGTTTCCCGTAGTAACGACGTTGAACTAACTTCAGTCAGTTTTGATGACCAGAAAAGCTCTTTTCTCCTCATCTATCTACTCAGTTTAACATGACGACTATGAAAAAGTCTCAGCATAAAAGCGTACTACAGTGAGAAATGCAGCAAAAGACTGAGGTCATCACATAATATACTGACTTTTATTTGAAGAACACATCCGTCCGAGTTACTTACCGAACTGTAAGTGAAAAACGCGAAACATAACACGTACAGAAAATACAATCTCAAATGCCGGTTTTTCCTGGGAAAAGGACATAGCTACTGAAGGATCACATTAAAGATGGTTCAGTAGTGTGACGAGAGCAAGTAGGAAAGATTTATATAATTGAACGAGTAGACAGTTACACAAAAAACACTACAAATCTCTGAAGTAATCAACTTTTAAAGTCTCTTCAGTGAACAAACGCTCATACAGCTGTCAAGATACATCAAAATAAGTTTTCTGATGCTATTAAGTGTGCTTTTTCTCATGATACAGCCCAAACATGAAAAAATAAGCTAGTAGCGCCCGCTGCAACTAGTTACAAATTGTTGATGAAAGCTTAATACGGTAAATAACCCGCTGCAGCTAGATTCACAACTAGCTGTGACACTAGCTGCAGCTAACTATTTATTAATAGTTTCAGTGAGAAAGATAAGCTAGCTGCAACAATCGCCATAGCATCTGTTGCATTGGGCAGCAATAATTAACAGATCAAGAGCCTATAGAAAATTTAAAATAAAACTCGATAAAGCTAGCTGTAACGTCCGTTTTAGCGCCAGTTGCAATCTAGCACCTACCCTACATCGATCTGCTTAGCGGCCGCTTCAGCTAACTGCTATAATATAGACGTTACGAAAAATGCCCTAGTTGAAGCGACCGCTAAATTGGGCGCTGCAACCAGCTTATCTTTCTCGTTGAAACTATCAGAGATAGTTACGAGTCTAGCAGCAGATTCTAGAGCGTCAAGGTTCGATCTGATTTGTCTGTGATATGTATCTGTTGAATATTATGTAATTCCCACTCGTTTATTAGAATTGGAAAAGGAATTGCTCTTTTGAATACCAGTGTGTACTCAGTGGAAGAAAATGACTAACTGACCATTCCGTGCACGACTCTTCCGCGAATTTTATAAACAGATGTTAAGAAAACTAAGAAAACAACGGGTATTACTGACAGCACCCATTAAAAAAGTCATAAAACAACTTCAACTTGAAATACTGATATAACGAAGCGTCGTGTCACGGAAGAAAATGGATTTTACAGTGGCTCAAAATTCTTATTGAAAATCTTTTAACGCAAAATTCAAAAAATAATTTCTCTTTACATACTATAGGTTCTTCTTTAGTGCAGATTGTTGTTTCTGTTTATTTCTTGTTTTTTATATCAGAGATGGATGAGTACAAGTATTTTGTTAGGAAGTGTAAACCAAATATAATATCAGCAGTTGTCATCTGTCAATACATATGTTCTCTTCACTCGATGGTTATTTTCCCTTTAACTACGCAGAAACTACGCAGAATTTGACATACTCATTGTCTAATGACGAATCAGAGGATATTGATTTGTGATTTCCGTTATTGAATAGAGGAGATGTCACACTACTAAGAACAAACATCAATAAAACTTGGAGAGAGAGCAGTTGAAAATCGAAAATCGACAAACATCAAGTTTTGATATTTCACAAATTTAGACATGTGACATTCAACTATTGACTTATTACCCAACAAAACGTTTTAGTACCAGATATGAAATAATATGGTCGGTTTGATCCATTGGTCGCACGCTTAGCACTGCTTTTTCTCGCACACTTGATCGAGCACTTTAGCGTGTCATATTACTCAAGTTGGAAAAAACCAGCTTTCATATATGTATGTATACATATATGAAAGCTGGTTTGGTTTACATGTAGAGAAATGCGAATCATCAAAAACGCGTGTGTCTTTGGGTGATGACTAATTTTGAAAAATCTACCATAACTCATAAAAGTAGTATTTCCGCTGATGATGATGTATAATAAGAAGCAATACTTCTGAGGGTTGATTTTGTATCCATCTGTTCTCTAGAGATATCCGGAAACTATTAGCAAATTGCTCAGTCATGCTGTGGAGCTGGTGTACAAAGAATTTGTCTAAAACAAACACAGACAGCAACGACTTATCAACAAAGTTTTGCATAGGGAATGATCGGTATAGTCTAGGTACTTTTCATGGATTCAGGCTTAGAAGAAGAGTCTAAAAGAATCGTGGTGCATCTACTCAAAACTTAATGTAATCGCCTGATATCTGTATTCAACCAAGTATCCGTCCACAACTCCTCGTAGATTGCACTCAGTTCTCAAACATAATCAATCCAAGCCACGCTATTTGCCTGTTAGGCTTCTGCGCCACATTGTTTTCTCATGTTTGCCATTACTATACACTTGTCTGAGTCGCTCTATCTCGATCGTACACAAGTGAGCGATATTCGAATTCTATCTCATCGGTTTTTGCGGCTCTTTCTTGTTCTCTATCTAGATACGCTACCAAAACCAGGGAAAGATATTCCGTCTCTTACAAATTCTTCTTTCCGGTCGGATCCAATTCAACAAGAACAAAATCCGAACAACTTGATTTATTTCACGCTCTGGTACTAAAAGGCTTTGTTGAGTAATCCGTCAATAATTGAATTGTGAAAATAAACTATATTTTTGCCCGTTTTTTAAGAGCAACAAGCACATGTCTAGATTTGTGAAATATCAAAACTTGATGTTTGTCCTTAGTAACATGACGTCTCCTCTGTTCAATAACGAAAATCACAAATCGATATCCTGTGATTCATCGTTAGGCAGTGAGTGTGTCATTTTGATGCTATAAACACTGCGCAACATCGAAAATCGAAAATTCAGGTATAGTAAGTATCAGGAGTATGAAAATGTAGGAACCATTGTTTACGATTCAGCACGTTTCCTGTTTGAGAAAAAACTATCATACATGATAAAAAAAATTATCTTTACATGATTCGGGATTCATGCATTTTCTACGTGCTAGGTAGCTCTGATCTAGAGAGCCACGAATTAAAATCAATAGATCGATGTCGGAACTCAACGCATTATAACAACCCATTGCTAGTGACCCACGAACTTATACTGATAGGATTAACATTGTTTTAACATAAACTTTATTTATCAGTTGAGCAACACAGGCACAAACACAACAGTTGAATTAAATCGATTTTGAAAAACCTGACAATTGTGTGAATGGCCGAGACCGGTTTCGACCTTGCTAAAGGGTCTCATCAGGTGGTTAGTTAACGAACGACCACGGCCGGCCTCGGCCTCGAATAGAAAATGGAAGTAGGAGATATAAAAGTTTCTCCGTGTGTTAGTTCGAGCTGTCTCTGTTGTTTTTCGGAGATGGCCTCTAGTTTAATAAGCCACAGTTGGCCACTATCGTGAAGCTTTTGACAGGACTTGAGCACAAACTTGGTGCCCGGTGAGAAAAGTACTTCATCTTCCTCGCTGCTATTGATGGGAGCATACGGCCGCATCTGTCGACCTGTGTCGAGCTGTATCTCGAAAATGATCGAGATCATATGTGAATCATTGTCGGATCCATTGCCAGCAAAGATTTGAGCAACTTTAAAATTGAAGGATGTCGACAAGAAACTCGCGACCGCCACTACTTCGCCAACACGTTTTGTGAGTTTGTCAAGTTCAAACACTGTCATTTGTTGACCACGATAGACTGTCACCAAGACACGGTCCTCTTCTGCTGGTTGAAATTGACGGAGACAANGTCGATAGTAATATATATTATCGAGCCGCCGCTGTCTGAGACTGAGATTAAGTGTTCGATGGAAAAAAGTAGCTTGAGTGTAACGGATGAGATCGTTCTCCGGCTGATAGTTAATCCAAAATTTCCGAAACTGATCTGTTTTTGTTACTTCTGTTGTTATGTTGTCATCTTGAGGACGTTTATGTAATTCCCGTTGAAATCTTAAAATTAAAAAAATTAGATCTACACTATTACAATTTCAAATATTAACTTTTTCTTTGAACTTATGTTTTGGTTCTATTCTTAAATCCTTCTAAATAGTGCCCCGCAGGAGATTTCCAACTTACATTCGTTGGTTGTTTTAATTCTAAAAAAAAATTCTGCACTTACAATGGTTCCTAGAGAACTGAACGAACTGCCACTGACAATGATAGTGTTAGAAGAACTTCCTCTAAATAGATTCCCATATGAACTTTTGAGTTGGCACAAGCTGACTCGATTAACCGTCGACAATTGTGGTGTGAAAGAAATGCCGAATTTTACGAGTAACCTTCAGCACTTGAAGCGTTTATCTCTAAATAAGAACGAATTGAAGACACTGGCTGCTGGTCTAAATGATCTCTCATCACTAGAAGATTTATATTTGAATGATAATCCGTGGATCTCACTGGATGGCTTGAAAGATATCCTCAGTTTACAGCGGTTACACTTGTACAGCTGCCACTTAACAGATTTTCCGTTAGCTATAACAACATTATTGTCATTAAAGAAATTAAATCTGTCCCGTAATAATCTGTCAAAGATTCCAGAATCGATCAAAAACCTACAGCAGTTAGAGCTATTAGACATAGAATTCAATCCAATCGATACATTTCCGCGGGAACTGATATCGTTAAAAAGGTTACGAGAACTATTCTTATCGTGGACCAAGATAACGGATTTTTCTGGAGTTGGTAAGTGACCAAAAAAATCTTACTCTGTCGGTAGCTTCCATTTAAAATAGTGAACATGCATTTTTCTAGTGAAAAATTTGATATAAAATTGAGTATAGAAATGAAAGTGATGAGTTGAATTTGATAAATGTACTTTCTTTACTAATGTTATAATTTGTCTTTCATATTTAGATTTGTTAACAAGTCTGAAGGTGTTAACTCTTGATTCTCTTGGATTACGACAGTTACCAAAAGAAGTCGGACTCCTTAGAAATTTGAAATTGCTATCTCTCGTCGGTAACAAACTCTCCGACAGTAAAAAGAACACAATCACTAACACATTCAAAAAATTCGGTACGGATATCCGAATAGCTATTCTTCAAATCGTCGAGTGTGGACGAATTTGTTTTCCGTTACAACTCTTATATATATATATATATACATATTGAATATAGTTCGTTTACCTCTTTTTCCCACATATTGTGGACACTCAAGCACTTTGATTGTGGATGTACAGGATGAAAATGCCCACCAAGTGCATTCTTCACCAATTTCATACACTTTGCTCAAATCTTCTTTGACATCTCGCCAGACTATTGACGGTGGTATCTTCGATAGTGCAGTGAAGAACAATTTCAAATAAGGAAACCAAGGTAATAATTTTCGCCGATTAGCTGCTCTTAGTGCATGATTCAGCGTCGGATACAAATCCGACTCAATAGTGTACAAGTGGATAGCGGCTGATTCATCACGTGTCAGACCATTTGCAGGATTTTTGCTATTCGCCAAGGCTATTTCAACGTTTTCCTTCAATTCGTTGATATCGAGTAGTTCGTACAACGGCTCAACTGCTTTCTCCAAAGAAACCAATTCTTCTTTTTCATAGCCTGCTATGAGTTTCAGCTGCTGTGTTGGTTCATCGCGAACACTAATCAGATATCGCGGATTTATCGCCGTTGTAGTTATGTTATCCTTCGCCGCCATCATAAAATATGAAAACAGATCATTCATGGTTTAAAGTGAACAATTTAAATATAAATAATAAGATGAGGACCACCTTTTCTATTATGAAAATACACACATTTTCTTGAGACGTTTCGTCTTTATTCAAACGACATCATCCGTCAAGTGGCTACAAAAATTATCAGCAATACAAAACTTTTCTTCCTGTTTTTTCTAATACAATAAAAAAAAAGCAGAATTTGGTTGTTGGTGGACTATAGATAAGAATGCAGAAAGAAAAGAAGCACGCGTTAGGAGTTTTTCTAAAAGTACATAATTCAAAGTACCTTTTAGTAAACGACATGAGATTAAACGAAGGTATTGAATTTAAAATGTTTTAAATGAAAGCTAAGGTTTCTAAAGCAGGTTTTTTTTCTACCCAAATGCATTATGAATAGATATTTGACCTTTCTGAATTAAGTGGCAACGGTGATTCTACGAAATACGGTTTTCATCGCCTTACGTTATCGCTAAAACGATTACAGATATTACAACATGCATTCCTAGAGTCCAAACGATCACAAAATAAAATGGCTCTTGAATTTGTTGATGACTTATCTTCACCATCACTAACCAGAAACGTTTTGACAATTTCTGTTTTTCATCATGTATCCCAGATTTTGCTCTTTGGAATGATATAGAAACAAAGTTCTATCTATTCGTATAAATATCCACAGAAGCGAAAAAGTGATTATACGAACACTTAGTGAGCGAAGAAAACAGATCAGAGTTAAAAGACTTTTATCTTTTGATAGAAAGACTTGAGATAAAAATCTGCTATTAACAAGAAATAAAGCTGAGAATTAGGCCTATTGAATGGTAAAAACTTTTTTCCGACCTTTCTTCCTTCAGCCGAGGATGATGTTACAAGTTTTTCTTCTGCATCGTACGAACACGTTTTCCACTAACTACATATTTAATTATTCATCGTATTCACGATTTTTAACATTGATATTAATATTACAAGCATCTGTTCCATGCATTGGTTTTTCATTAAATTTTGTTTTATCGTTTGACGTATAATTAACAGAAATTTATCGAATACAATTACTGCTGTTACAACGAGTTATATTATTAAATATAATCATGGAGATTTATTAAGTTGTCTGATAGTACCATTAAGTTTTATTCCACTAGGACTAATCTTTTCTTTTTTGCATTTTCTACATATAATGGGTATTTGCATGTTTATTTTTAATCATAAAATAAATGAAAAGAATATAATCGATGACCGTAAAATGAATTCAAATATACTTAGGACATACCAAAAGTAATGGCACCATCACTTCATTTCCTTATAGAAAGCTTGAAGAAATTTTCTTTTTTTATGCAATTACAGACAAAACGATGCTCTATTTTTCTATGCTATTTCATCACTATTCACCTAATGTCATAACTATAAAATTTTCAAAAGAGAAAAAAAGAGCT